ACGGTCGGATACGAACACCTTCCACGGCTCGCGCGGCTAGCGGGTCTCGCGGCCACGGGGGCGGGCGTCTTCAAGTGATTTGGGAGAGAAAAAGGGCTGTTCACTGGGATACCCTGGGGCAGAGGGGCGTGCTCGGGGAGACCATTAACAATGGGGAGCTCTGCTTGGGTCTCTTTATAAGAGAGGAATTGTTCTTGCCCCAGGCTATTCGTAATAAATGGAACTTGCCCTTGGCTGTTCGTAATTACAGGGATCTGTGCTTGGTGATTCATTATCAAGGGAGTCTGTTCTTGCACTTGCGGAGGGGCTTGGGCGGGCGGTTGGTTGCTGGTCAAGACCGCAGGCTTTCCCTTTTTGTTTTTCTTATTTTTCGAGGCCTGACTCTGATTGGTTTTGTCGCCCGAGACCTGATCTTGTTTCTTCTTGCCTCCGGGGGCCTGATTCTGATTATTTTCGCCACCTTCGCTAATAATTTTATTATTTTTATTTCCAGGGGCTTTGTTGTTGTTAGCTTTAACACCTGGAATTTCGTTTTGATTGTTTTTGCACTCGACGGCTGCCATCTGATTGGTGCTTTCATTCAGAACTTGGCTTGGATTATTTTTATTCTTTGACGCCCTCTTCCTTTTCTTCTTGGTCGCGGGCGCCTGATTTTGGTCACCGGCGTTCGAAATGACTTGGTTTTCATTGGTCGGGGTCGCGGGCGCCTTGCTCTGATTGGATTTCCCGGGCGGGGTCGGATTAAGGCCGCCCTTGTCTTCCGCCGCCGCGTTTTGGCTATTTTTGTTCTTCGATTTGTTTTTCTTCTTTTTCTTCACGACCGGCGCCTGGGTCTGATCGCGGCCGTCCGACAACACCTGCTTATCCTGCATCGGCGTCGCGGGCGCCTCGTCTTTCTTCTGGCTGACCCTGTTCGCGGGCACTTGTTTCAACCCGTTCGCGGCCTCGGGTGGTCTTAGGTTTTTAATGTTATTGTCGGGGAGGCCCTGACTCTGTTTGCCCACGACCAACGGCCTCTCCTCGAAGGTCTGGCTCGGACAAGTGTTGCTACTGACAAAGGGGCTTCCCTGAAGACCCCTCCAAGCTTCCCCATTTCCGTCCATTATGTAGGCCTCTTGCTCATTTCTGAACCTACGTGGCTCCCCTACTTCGTCTTGAACGAAGTGCGCAGAG